TGGTTTCTTTTCAATGACAATGAATGCAAGAGAGAGAGAGAGAGAGAGAGAAAAAAAGAGGAAAAAGGAAATGTTGCGTAACCTAATTACAAAGCTGGGTACGATTCTCTGATTACGGAATCGTTCAATCGCACACAATTTTCTTATTCAATTTTTTTCCCTTCATTCATATATATATATATATATATATCTGTTTCCTACTTTTTTATTCTATTTTATCGTCATCATTTTATCTCGTAATAACAAGAACTAGAATTACGTTATATTTAATAGTAATAATAACAACTATTAATTAAAAATCCAATAAGAATGATACTTATGATGATATATTATAATGAAAAAAAAAAAAATCAATTCAGTTGTTATATACGAACGAGTTGATACTATAATGATTCATGAATGAGTACTTGTTTCTACGATAAACACTTATCCCATCTTTATTATTCTCGATTTTATTTACGAGCAAACGAACAAATTACTATATATCGCGTTAACATAAATCAATAATTTTCTGTTCGATCTTTGATTTTCTTTAAGAATGAAAAAAAAAGAATGTTCCAGAGAGAGAACATCTGGATAGGAAATAAATGATTTTTCTTTGTGTGTTCATCTATCTTCCTTTCTCCCCCTTACTAACTTTAACTTTGAACCCTCGAACGAAAGGAAAAAGAGAGTAGGAGAATAGTTTAGTTTGTATCAGGTATAAAAAGGGTCGGGGAAGGGACAACACTGAAAGGAAAAAAGGAAGGGGGAAACCGATCCCGTACCGTGCTTAACAACCTGGATATGCACCAGGTGCGTTCAACTCATAGAAGAAGAAGCAACGGTAGTGCACAGTTTTCCTGCAGTCCTCTTCCAAACATCCCAACCATTATTGTCTTTTTCTTCATCATCATCATCTTCCTCGAATTGAAAAGTTAAATCATCAGCCATCGGAGATTATTTTCCGAGAAATGTTTACTATCAGTTCGTTTTTTATTTTTTTCTTTATTGCCCGATCAAGAAACGATCAATCGATTTTCTTATCATTTCGTTTTCTCAAACGTATAACAGCTATCGTTTTATAACCATTGGGTGCTGAACAACTCAACCCAAACACCGTTGGCTGTGTTGAATTTCACAGATAAGAGAAGGCTTTTTGTTGTGTCGTGAAGCTACAGAAATATTGTTGCTTGGATTATCACTCGTCGTCGTATTAACTTCCCCCATTTTGTTTTTTATCTTTTCTTAATTAAGAAGAGAAAGTTTCAGTTGTTGTTTTTGATAAATAATTCTTAATCGTGAACTAATAGAGTTTCTTTATTATTGGGCTTTTTAAAAACTGAAGTTTTCCTTTTGTTCTCCTTCTTCTTCTTCTTCTTGATTTAAACAACCATGGCGTCAAGGAACAACGGTGAGTCATAAATGCCAAGAGATTCTTTGATGCACGAGTTCGAATATAATTAGTGCGTGCGTGCGTTACATGTGTGTGTTTATCTGTGTGTATACGTAGTGCATCAGTTCGCGTATTGTGATGTTCTTTTATTGTGTCACGAATTTTCTCTCTCTCTCTCTCTCTCCTTTGTTTTCTTTTCTCATTTGACATTAGGAAATAAAACTAAAATTGTATTTGAAAAAAGAAAAACAAAAATGTGGAAAAATTTGAATTGAGAAATTTTCACCTGGAGGAGGTGGGGGGAGAGGGGTTAGGGGGAGGTAGATAGATGGCTGTTAGGAACACAACGAGATAACCGGCGATAAACTGCAATTACGTGGAAAAATCGATCGATAACTATGACTGTGTGTCACGTGTTGCGGAAATGTCATCGGAAGGATTTCCTCACTCGCAATTTATTTTCATCCTCTTCCTTTTTCTTTCTCCTAGAAATTTTGTCGTTGTTCTCTTTTCTTTTTACCTATTTTGCTTAGAAAATAGCAGCGGAGAGTGGTAACTGTTAGCTCGTCGTCGTTGTCGTCAGCAGAAACAGCAACAGCAAGCAGCATCCCCATGTTGTTTTTCAGTGTATCGATGCACCAACTTCTACAATTGTTTTCTATGCGTTCGGTCGCGAAAATAACCGCAAAACTATTGTTCCATGACGAATGGAAAAGCCAACACTAATTTGAACGTTTCTTTCTTTCTTTTCTTCTTTTTTTTGTTTTTTATTCGAGTATCCATAGTTTGCTCGAAAGTTTAATGTGTAGTAGTAGTAGTAGTAATAGTAGTAGTAGTATTAAATAACAAAACGAATCTTTCAGTTGTTTTATTTTCGTGGTCTGGTCTGGTTTGGTTTGGTGTCGTCAAAATCGATCAAATTGTATTGTTGAAAGAATTTGATAAATGTGTCTCAACTAAGTGAGTTGGATTTTACGTTTAGTCCTTTTTTATACTACTGCAACCTACCTATCCACTCCTACTCCTGCATATAGAGGTAGGAAAGCATTCTTATCTGCTGAACCAATAACCCACTTTCATACGTGTCGCTCGATAACTTTCCTATTGTTTTCTTTGAACGCGAGTCCGCAAATTTTTCTCCAAAGCTAACATATATATATATA